CGGACCAGTGGCCATGCGTGCGTGATAGTGGGCCACTCACAACTACATCACCTCCTCCCAACACATTGATATGGTACAAATCAACTGTTAGATTCATATTGTTAAAATGGAATATCTGGAAGTCGGGTTTTAATGAGACTTTTACTTACCGGTATCACCCTTTTCTTACTGGCACCAAGTCATGGAATACGACACTCACCCCTAGCTCAAGCGACGAAAGTCTGAAAAAAAACTTGCGTCCTTTCTGAGCCCCTACATCTTCATCAGCTTTCATCGGCGTCATCTTTCAAGAGTCCAGAGTTAAGGGATAGAAACCAATTACTTTCCCTTCTAGCAATTTCAGTTTCTTCCTCCCAAGAAGTTATTTTTCCAAATTTTAATTTTTTTTTAAATTCCAAAAGCAAAGCCATCAGGCTGAATGATGGTGCGTTACTCGACTAGCATGTCAGTCCTGAGCACCTCCCGTTTCTCCTTTTCCTGGGGAGTTTGGAAATGGATCGTATAACTAGCAAACAGCAGCATCTTCCCACAGAAAACTAAGCGACTAGCACTGAATGCTGTTCAATTCGTATGTCAACCACGCACAACAACTGCCCCATCATTGTAGTTGACGACGGCCAAAGGGTGGTGTAGCGCCTGTCAATAAGATGTAGTGGGTGACCGATGAACTGACCGGATGATTGATAGCCGATTGCAAAACAGAATCGCGATGATCAGGTATGCGTAGGGACCTGGAGAGGCAACACCGTAAATCCTGATTATAAGGGTTCTCCTTGTGGAAGCGTACCTTCGGAACTCTTTCGGTTAGGTCACAGAAAAGCTTGTTAGCTCACATGTGTATTTCTCCACCGTAATAGTCGATGAGCCGGGCCGGTAGGTAATCCTTGGGGTCTACCGTACTAGAGCGAAGATGATGTAGTACGGGAAGGCACTCTTTTAAAAAATATGGTCCAGAGGTCGAATCTCTGACCGTCACCCGGACCAGGTTAGCAAACCATGGGACGACTGTTCTCTTTCAAACGAATTCACAATCTCGAGTGAAAGTTTAGACGAGGGCGCGTCCCAAAACGAAAGTGATGGGAATCAGGGACGATTTTCCTACTATCACCAACTTCATGAGTGCAGTTTATTACACTAAGACTGTAGAAGGAAATCGAAAGAGGTAGTAAATAATTCCAGTCAGATTTATTCAGATTTATTTTACATACAAATGATAAAAAGCTCAACAGTGAGAGGTAGAGGCACAAAAAATACATATACCGAAGCAGTGAGTGAAAGAGGTGATAAACGGGACCCGAATTAATGGGAAACCCATTCGCTCTTGACTAGGAGAAAGCTAACTTGTAGGGACACTCTTAGTAACGGAAAAAGGCTCAAAGAGCAGCTTAAAGGCACAGCTCGCGATAAACTATTTTTTTATCAGAATTCTCTAGAGAAGTTCCTATAGGGCTTCCCGGATAGAAAAGCCGCCCAAACAGGCCGCTACAAGGGCTCAAAAGCCGTCCTAATGCCCTCTGCCCTACATTACTCCCAACAAAGGACGAGTTTAACAGCTTTGTAGAAGCCGATATCATTCAAAATGGAGCACGTTTGTTGTAAATGCAACCAGCTGGTATACGTAATAGCTAAAATGCTTTGGACTGCAGCGGGAAAAATTTCGTCTAAACACTTTTTATTGCCATAACCTGCTCCAACCTTAAAAATCGCAAACTGTGCCTTCAAAATATGAGTGACGAAAAACTCAATAAATAAGCGAAATGAAGTAGATTGAATGTACGACTTTAGGTTCGTTTTTCTCCAAAATCTAATCTTTTTGTTCCTGTTCAAGTTGTTCAATTATCGCAGCAAAATTCTTGCGGATAATTTTGAAAGGACGTCGTTCATATGTACGAATACTCCGTAACCTTTGTAAAGCCATTGCATAGCTGATTAGTTTTTGAAGAGCTGGATCGACTTTAGTGTAGAGAAACTCGTCCACCGTCTCAGCATGGAACAGTTCTCGCATTTGATATCTGTAAAGAACGACAGTAGGAGGT